ATGTTTTATAGTTTTAGTAGAGACGGGGTTTCACCGTGTTGACCAGGATGGTCTCGATCTCTTGACCTCGTGATCCACCCGCCTCCGCCTCCCAAAGTGCTGGGATTACAAGCGTGAGCCACCGTGCCCGGCCTGTTTTTTTTTTTTTAATTTTGATCTAGTGTCCCAAATTTTCTCTAGAATCTGTCACTCATGTCAGAGGATTTCCTCACATGAGTATTGAGCCTTGGTATTCTAACAATTTGAGTGAGAAACTAAAACATGTATTGGAAACCTTGTGCATGCTGGTAGGGTTTAGAGATTAATGGGTTTCACCAATGTGTGATTGGGCAGTAATTAGTCATCTCATTAGGGAAATTCTAAATGTATTTTTTATTTTTATTTCCATTTTGAGACAAAGTCTCACTCCATCATCCAGGCTGGAGTGCAGTGGCATGATCTCTGCTCCCTGCAACCTCCTCCTCCCGGGTTCAAGTGATTCTCCTGCCTCAGCCTCCCAAGTAGCTGGGATTACAGCTGCATGCTACCAGGCCTGTTAATTTATGTTATGTTTAGTAGAGAGAGGGTTTTGCCATGTTGGCCAGGCTGGTCTCGATCTCCTGACCTCAGGTGATCTGCTGGCCTCAGCCTCCCAAAGTCCTGGGATTATAGATGTGAGCCTCCTTGCCCAGCCTCTCTGTTGACTGTACAGAACTTTTTTAGTTTGACATAATACCATTTATCTAAAAATATTTTTGCTTTTGTTGCCTGTGCTTTTGGGGCCATATCCAAAAAAATTATTGCCCCTACCAATGTCATAGAGCTTTCCCTCTATTTTCTTCTAGTAGTTTCAGAGTTTTGGGTCTTAAATTTAAATCTTTAATCCATTTTTAGTTGATTTATGAATATAGCATGAGATAAGGGTCTAATTCTTTCTTTGGCATGTGGATATTCAGTTTTCCCAATACCTTTTATTGAAGAGCTGTCTTTTACCCATTGCGTGTTCTTGGCACTGTTGTCAAAAATCAGTTGACTATAAATGTGTGGATTTATTTACGAGCTATTTATTCTGTTCCACTGGTCTATGTGTCTGCTTTTATGCCAGTCCCATGCTGTTTTGGTTGCTATAACTTTGCAGTATATTTTGAAGTCAGGTAGTGTTATGCCTCCAGCTTGGTTCTCTTTGCTCAAGATTACTTTGAATTCTTTTGT